GAATGCCACCTCTTACTAACTGCCAATTGAAATGTTTCAAGTTTCTCAAATACGGCCAGTCCATATCCTCTGCCGGGAACAACACGCGCATCCTCGACGGGGCCTAGTTCTGAAAGTGCAGCTCTTAATTCTTCCGACGTCGTGTCATGATGGAGGCCACCAACAAACACTTTGCGGCTTCTCGGTGGTACCGGCTGAGGCTGAGGGGTGGGGATTGGCGTAGGAGGTTCAGCTGCGGGTGGTGGGGCTTTTTTAGCAGTTCGCCTGAATGACAAACGAACAAGCACTTGGTGAGGCTATCTACCATAGCTGTACAATTTCACATTGCAAATATTCAGAAGTTCAACAAAGACACCACCGAGGTTTCATGAGCGCACAAACGGTGTTAAGCCATGGGCCTACTTGTTTTCTAGCGAATCTGACGACTCACCTCAGTCACCTTAATGTAGAACGCATACATAAAGCTTCAGAAAAGATACTGATGCCTACGCAAAGTCGACCTGTGGAATCGCATTTTCTTGTAGCAGTTCAGCTATAATGTGTCTGTTTCACTTGACACAAAGCAATGCAGTCTAAATGTTGTGCGAGGTAACACTTAACACTAACTCTCCTGTGTAGCATTGTAATAGAACATTAAGAATTGCACAAAGGCTTCTTAGTTGTGGAAAAATAATGGGTAGACGTGGAGAGAAGGAGCTACACGAATTAAAAAACGCGCGTTTAACCCCAATGACGTCTGTACAGGGGAACCTTAAAGCAAGTGATTCAGAGTAAGTTTTCTGATTTAGAAGCATTTTAATTCGTCATCCCTGAACTAGATTTTTCGAGTAGTCTTCTGATATGCGGGTAAGTAAAGGGACTTTTAAAGATCAGAGGATCTAGTAAAATCATACAAATGTTTGCTTAAAAGACAAACTTCGAAGAAAATTTAAGACCAGCACAGACACTTTCGCTTGAGAATCGACACATTTCTTTAAAAATATTGGTGCTCATCTCTAGTTTGGGGCGTCCGCTGTAGACATAAAACCGTACAAACACACTTTGACATTTAAATTGCGTAAAGTCATTAATTACACGATCAGAGGTACAGCCAACTACTTGGCAGTACAGTGGAAAAAACCCCAGCGCTTACAACGATGCAGCCCGATTCAGTTCGTTTGGAATTGTCTTGCCAGAGACAAATGGGACCAATTCAACCCTCTTTGTACCAACCAAATGCCACCTATTACTAACTGCCAATTCAAAAGTTTCGAGGTTCTCAAATACGGCCAGTCCATATCCTCTGCCGGGAACAACACGCGCATCCTCGACGGGGCCTAGTTCTGAAAGTGCAGCTCTTAATTCTTCCGACGTCGTGTCATGATGGAGGCCACCAACAAACACTTTGCGGCTTCTCGGTGGTACCGGCTGAGGCTGAGGGGTGGGGATTGGCGTAGGAGGTTCAGGTGCGGGTGGGGAAGCTTTTTTGGCATTTCGCCTGAATGACAAACGAACAAGCACTTGGTGAGGCTGTGCATCACATCTGTTCAGTTATGAGCTGGCCCAGAATAAGTCTCCCTATGGTAGCAAACTATGTATAATGTGACAATAACTTCATTTTTGTGATGGAAGTTCGGTGTCACTGTGCAAATATGGCATTGTTGTAACCGTAGGGTAATTCATAATGTGCCTCGACCTAGGTCAGGCGTGTAATTGTTCCGGTGAAATTAACATGACACTGGTCTTGAACGTTCAGCTTTATAAGTCTCACGGTTGTGTCTATCACCAAATTTCATCGTGCAGACCAGGTACATCAACTACCAAGGCAAACATATTGTTCCTAGTGTTAAGATACTTTCTCATTATAAGCGATTTAGTGAGAAAAACACCTACAAATTTTTTGGAAGAAACTTTTGAACCTCAACGCGACCTCCGGCGATGAAATGCACTCGCTCGGAAGTTGCCTTGGCTGCCGAAGCTGCATCCGCGAAGGTAACGTATGCGAAACCCCTAGGGGTTACTACATTGACGAACTTAACTGCACCGAAACGGCAGAAGTAGGAGGTCAAAACTTTACGGTTCATGTGTGGTCTGAGGCCGCCAACAAACACTTGACGGTAAGAGGATTCGCCATCCGGCGTCTCGTCTTGTACTGAGGACTCGGAAACTTCACTGCAATGCATTAAAAGAACGGTTGTGCAAACACTCCTGTGAATCAGAATACTGAAACGACAAATGATCGGGCATCATGAGTCGATCACACAGAGAAAACAGGCGTCATGTGTACCCTTCAGTGGGCACACTAAGTTACACGTGGCCAAGGAGATTCCGTATCACTACACAACTGCTTCCTTTTTAAACTTACTTGATCACTGAAGGCAAAACTGTTTTATCATCCACGTAACACATGACTTCCTGGTGAGCCCACTAGCTATTTTAAAAAAATTTACAGAAGGTTGCCCCGATTCAAAGTAGAGTTTTTCTCAGCTAATGCATTTTTAATTGGCACAATAAACTTCATGAATGCTACTCTATGATTCACAAAAATTCAGCAAGACACGGGATAACTCGTGTGTACTATTGCCTAACTTTAATCTGAAAGCTTGAAGGACAACTGCTTGTAAGCAAGTAGACTCGGTATTAAAAAAAAAGTAGGATCTTGGGGTCCTTTGTAGAAATCAATCCTACCCAACTGAGCAATTACGAATCAAAAAGGAGCCTTCATAATGTTACAGTAAAAATCTTGCGTCTTTTTCGCAAAAAGTGGCCACAACTACTGAAAGTGTCCAAATCTTAGGATTCAGCATGCAATAGCATACGTCAATGCTACCTGCCGGTGCTGATTTAGTCTGATAAACATCAGTTAATCAGGTTAGTTTGGATTAGAGAGGATTAAACAACGTAGGTATGGCGCAGTATTGTGTTGACAAACACAATTTAACGTGGTAATTATTGCGCGAAAACTCTGTTCTCAGTAATGGCATTACTTAAAAAAATGACCGCGACAAAAACTCATCCGGACGAAATACATATGTAAGTCAAGTGCTATTAAGGAAGTAGCCTCAGCCACCAAAAACAGGTGGCTTTTGTTGTTTTACAGGACTTCTCTGCTGGTGTTATGCTCTTTTCCACTTTGACGTTAATTGATGCAGTGAGTTGGATCGGGGTTGTGTGAGTGTGCAAGGGATTGCAGTGATGAGTTTCTTGAAGTGGAAAGTAACCGTTTAAAAGATTGACATTAGGCCTTTCCACCTGAATCAGAAGACACGCATTTAACGCGGCCAAACAAAATCACCCCATTTGAAACAAATCATCGCTGACGCAAAACTGTGAACCACGTACAGTGACAACAATTGAAAACACACCCTGTTTAAGTGTGATAAATTTGTAGAAATTACACCGATAAGAGGCGTGTATCAAGTAAAAATCGTGTTGTGTGTTTTGACCTGCTTCCAAACAACCAAGTCGTCGATTCTGATGTTATGAGCGGAAGCGGATTGGACAGCAGTCAACGAATTACGGTCGGAATTGGCAATTCGCAAGGAACTCATGTCCCCCACAAACAAGACGTGGGCTCGCACTGTTTTGATGACCCCGAAACAATTATTAAGACTCAGCTAGAAAGAGATGTTGTTCGGCCTCTGTATCGTAAGAACGCCACTTATTTCGAAGTTGGCGACACCCCTTGAAGCGGTAGAACTGTCAGTAGATGTGAAGACCTCATTTGTACTAGAAGTTGGATGAGTGCGGACTCATGATATTACCAGAAAATTGAAGAAAAATGTCATCATGCGAAACCGCACTGATGAGACCAGATAAAGCACATTAATTGCGAAAATTGTTTGCTTTTAACACCGCAAAACGAAAACAGCTCAGACATAAACATTTACTTAATGGTAGATTTTGAGAAAACCAATTACCTGGTTGGACTTTCCTCTCTACTTCCTTGTTCTGGATATAAAACGTCGACAAGCGTCGTAGCGATAAGTTGATCACTTAACTAGAAACGAAAAAAACGTTTCTTTTGGTTAATTTTGGCAAAGAACACCAAGTTGAGGAGTTTTGAGTTAGGTTAAAGGTTATTCACCAAAAACCAGGAGGGGCAAGTGAAAACGTGAACCATTCGTTGGGTGATTAAAATTTTTCAAATGTTTGTGCGCTTAAACTAGCATTTTCTCTTGTACTTCGTCATATGCATCATGTAGAAAGAAAAGATCATGACCACTCAGCTACCCTTTAATACTGCTTCAGCTTAAGAATGGATCCATAAACTAAGGACGACAATTTGCAAGGTGCTTTTGATAACTGCTTCGCTTTTTAAAACTCACGGGTTGAGTAACTGCCGAACAGACCAGCAAGCATACCTTAACATTACTGGTTTGTCACTAAAAAGAGCCGATCTGCGATAAGTCCTTCGATTCCTCGAACAAGGAAAAGGTTTGCTGAAGAGTAATGGTGAATTTTGTTGATTTTGATCCACCAAATTTGTCACCACGCTTCTAGATACCCTGCCCACCAGTTCCCGTGTCACGTGTTTACCCAGACACGTCTGAGCGTGCAGCGCTGGTTAAATATCCGCCGATGTGACTCACACCCGTGTGATTGTCCCGTCTCGTGACAACGCGGCTGATTCAAACCACTACTATTTCTTTGATCGACATTAATTAAAATCAGATGATTTATTTGAAATGGAAGCTATTGAAGAACCAGTTCAATCGACTATTTTCCCAAGAAACCGTATGATACCCAGAATACCTGATCTAACTAATCAAGTAATGACTCGACACAAATATTGACTAGAGCAGCATCTAACTGCCCATCTGTGAAAATTTTGAGCACTAAAAACCCACTCTGCTTGTGCCAGCTGGTCCCTTAAGCATAACATCTTTTTCGAAACGCTGGTAGAGAACGCTAAATTGGATTCAATTATCGTTTGAAATGTGAGTAAATGTTGTGAATTTTTCGGTGTTTCATTTTGATCGGCTTAGCCCCACACTTATAGTCACCCTGTTTGAAAATGTGTGTAAAGTGTCAATCACACAGTCACGGATAACCTATGCTGGTTAAGATAACGAAGATAGTTTCTTCTCTCGAGTAATTAAATTAAAGAATAAGATGATGATTATATTTGAAAGCCGAACTTACTGTTATATATGCTTTTGAGATACGCGTATCCATAAAACTCGTTTTTACACAATTGTTGTAGTCACTAAAAAGGTTATTTGCGGCTATTTCAGCATCTAGCAGTTGGCTCCGCATCAAGAGCAGTTCATTTAAACTCTAAAAGCAAGGAAATCATTAAAAAACAAAAAGTGCACGGTCTCAATAACCTTGGTTCAACGCTACAGTCGTAGGTAGCAGAGTTAATCAAACGTACTGAAGTAAAAGTACACCCGACACAATCTGTGACTCCGTCTTGCACAAGAACCAATCATCTTCTCTGAAAGGGTGGGCTGGGATCTACGGGGATAACGTGTGCGACGCTACAAGCCCATGCACATCAACGCCTTGAACCTAGCTCCATTCGATAGAGCAGCAGCCGGCTGAACGGACTAAAGAGTTTGCCGCATGTATTTGGCGAAAACAGCCTCCTCCGTGAAATCGACGATGACTCAAGAGCAACTCTCGAACGGTAAGTAACCCCACCAACATTTTCTTGCCCTCTTTTGATAACCTTTCAGTGTACCAATACTTCTACTTAACCTGAAATCAATCGTCGAGTTATTATCCTGTGGGCTGAAATGGCATGAGTTGTCAAAAGCATCTACGGAAAGCGTTGCAAGTCCAAACAGCCAACGCATTTCCAACCCTACCAACCGGTTGATGCGAATAATACCCGACAGAAGACTAATCAGACAACGTCACCACAAGTCGTGCGTGACCCTACGCCACATTTGTCTCTGCAGTTATGCAGACCTATCATTCTATTCACCAGTGCATGCAGCTGTCTGACTCGGTGTTTTCAAACTGACACAAGAGCAGATACGGACGACACCATTCACCCAACCAATTTATGACTCCGTCTGGCAGTTACAGTGTAGAATCGTGGGCAAGTCATGATAGCTGAAGTAATCTGTCGCATGAATTGTAAGGACTTTGAAAGATGGCGAATAAAATCAATATCAGCTCCAAGGAATCGTTGTCTTACTAACACGAAGTACCTTAAGAGGTGAAGTTTTTTGGTGGTTGTGGTGATTACGTCAATGGGATGCATCTGAGGGTAAGGGTGAATGTGGAAAAATGTTCGAAACTTACAGCACTATCAAGGTTCTCTTCGCAATGTTCGGTTAATTCCGTAATCTCACCCCGTAAGTTGGAAACTAAATCATTGAAGGGCGACATCCGATCAACCTCAGATTTAAAAAGAGACTCCAAGTGTTTAAGGCTGCGGTTTAAGGTTTCTGTGCTGGCCGATTCTAAAGTGGTTGTGGCCTCTTCAATATTTTCAGTCAGTTCAGCCGATTTGCGCTGTGCATCTCTAATCTCGGTATTCTTCTGTTGCAAACGCTTCTTTATTCTACATAGCTCTGCTAATTCCGCAGACAAGGTCATAATGAACTAAAAACAAACGGTGTGACAAGTTAAAAGCGCAGCTTTGTAGGTTATAAACCCAGTAAATTGAATGTGACCCCGGAATCGCTCATTGTAAACTAGCGCACAAAATATGTTGTTACCAATACCAGACCTTTGCAGCTGGATTAATTCATTAAAGGGACCACTTTCCGATTTGAAGATATCCACCGGTTTCGGTCTTGTTTATTTTTTTTCAATTTTTGAATTAGTAGTGACTCGACATATGCACAGACTTGGTAATTAGAGTAAGAAGTATGTAAGTTAGTGGCAAAGGTACTCACACTATTTGTATGTGCTGTCTTACAATCAAAGCAGACATCTAAATTACAATGTCCGCAAGTGACGAGCTGGGGAGTGGGCTGATGGCAGACCTCGCAGGGCCTAACAATGGAACTCCTCTCCTGAATTAGATAGTCCTTCACGCGAGCCTCCAGATCCGCGTTGTGAACAGCCTGGGAGGCGGGGAACCGCTTGCGACACCAAAAGCACCTCACCTCAGCTTGACCCGGGAACGCTATCAAGCAGGGCTGCCGGCAGAAGGAGTGGGCACACGGCAGTGTGCAGGGGTCATTGAAACTGCAAAAGGAAGCAGCGTGGCATGGAGGAACAAGCACTCATGTGGTTATTTGGATGCAATTGTCCAGAAGACCAAATAACTAACTTAAAGCTTCCACTCACTGAATGGAGTGCAGTGTACGGATTCTAGAATGTATTAGCGTTTTTGGAACTGCATGTTTACGCCTTGACGTAGATGTAGCGTAAACCTACTCATGGTTACTGTGAGTCTAAGGGATCTCCTATGCTAGGTGACAATATGGGCCCCTACCTCTACGATTCTACTCTCGTAGCTAATGTCACCACTTTTAAGCGGTGTTCAAGGAAGTTTTTGTAAGAACGATGAATTATTTCAGACTAATTTGTGAAAATGCAAATGAATCCTGATTAAAAAAACCCAGCTTACTGTTTGTTGCACACCCCGCATAGAAGATCCCCACTCTGGTGCTTCCCCGCAGTATTCATGTTGGCGCGCAGCTGTGGCTCGGTGTGCGTAGCTATGCCTCTCTAAGCCGTAAGAAGCGCCTCTCTGATTGATTGTTTTACCTTGCTCCTGATTGGCTCGCTGGGTACGCGTCAAATGTGTTGAATTGCAATGCTTTTTACACACCGCCGCGTGGCTTGATTTCGCAGAACGGGTTGGTGAGGTGGGTTCAAACAACGGCTAGTAACTCGGCTGCCTTGAGGACGATCGAGCAAGTGATGCGGTTATAGTAACCTCTATAACCTCTAGTAGCCCAGAGCCACCGCGTTATTACCGTGCTCATGGCTTCCAAAAGTTCCTTCTCTGATTCCGCCCCACCATCAAGTCTAGTGAAGACGGATTGGTAAATGCAGCAGTTACTTCGTGAATCCGCTAATACCATGTCTTTCCAACCATTTCTACAACTATAATCAGGTGGATCAGGACGTTCTTTGAAATGACAAATTATTTCTGGTTGGTAGTGGGTCGAAAATGCCAACGGATCTGTGCGAAAAACTTAAATTAAGGCTGTAACGGTTCCGATGTTGGCCACAAGTTGTGGAATGCCCCTTTTTATTGTACCACATCTGCCTGGCGTCTTGTCTCAGTGTTTCTCTCTTCAATCGTGGATGATGAACCTCGTCGACATCAGCTCGGCATCACGACACTGCCCACACACATACCGACTTGGATCAACGCTGGCACGGTTTTCTTACTTCAAGCATTGAAATTTGGTGACCAAGATGTCGAATTCTTTCTCAACTTGACCACGCGTGACTGACATGACTCACGGCGGCGCAGGAAGCAGCGGCTATATCCAAGATAAAGGCATGTGCAAGTACAGGTGACTGAGACGTTCCATTGCGAGAGTTTGATAACATTAACTCTGTGGATATCTCGTTGGATTCTTTAGGCCGGTGTGAGTGTTGTGCACCACCTCGAGGCAATTATCACGACTAGTGGGACAAAAGATCTGTCGCCTTACGCCACCCCTTGACTTGTCAATCATCCTGTGTTCAAATCGGCGTCATACTTTTCAACGGTCCTTCCGCCGACAGACTTACAATTTGTGTCTTTCCAGAACATTTTGCGTCTGGGTGGATCTGCTACCTATTCTCATGCAACGTTTTGAGAAGCTCTTCATTCAACGACTAGAAGCGTCTGTAGAATATCGAGTAAACAACACACCGTAACAAACGCGAAACAGACGCCCTCCAGACCCTTCATCCTCTGATTCCATGCCACAACCCCCTAGAAGCTCACGCGCCCACTTCTCAGTCTTACCGTCGTTCGTGATGGGACCCATCCATTGAAGAGCAGTAAATTGCATGAATGACCCAAGTTTCCCCACCACGCCGCTGTCCGTCCCCTCCTCCATGCACTTGCGACAGAAGGAAAACTCAAGCACACAGGGCCACTGATTCGTGCTCACTGCACGTGTTTTGATTGGTTAAGCCCAAGCTTCAATGTTGTCGCCAAAGTTTAGGGGCAATATCCTCTGGCCAGTCTTCCGTTTAGTGACCTCGTTAAGTACCTAATTTATCTTACACGAATCTTAAATGTTTCACTGAAACACCGTAAAATACAGCCCGTGCGCCATCTTGTCAAGAAGCATGCTAAGAACCACTGAAGCACGTCAAATCGCTTGTATATTGTGTAAAACTAGCATACAAATAGAATCACTTCACTGATTTAGAGTAAGTGGCTTGCTGGTGCGTCATAGGAAAAGCGGAAGCAGGGGATCTGAAGTCTCGGTCTCATCCTCCAGCGCTTTGCCTGACGATTTGGAATCGCCTTTAGCCGGAGAGGGTTTTGCTTTGGAATTTTTCTTCTTAGGTGAACTTCTCTTTACTTTCGCCGTTGCTTGAGGTTGTGAGGCCTTTCTGAAAAGCAACAGAACTCAATTTCATTCATTTGCAAAATTTATACTAATGGCGTTCCTAAAACAAACTATCTGCGCTTAAGTGTCAAAGAAAAACTTAAGTCCGCGAAGTTGGTAACTGGAACGCCCAAATAGCCAAAATCAATTGGCGGAGAAAGGGTTCTTTTGAGGGTCGAGAGCACATGTCACCTGGTGGTGGTAAATAATGTCTGTCCTGGCAGCGATGCTGTAAAGGGCAAATCTGCGTTAGAGGTAACCGTCCAAGTTGGGGCCTAGCTTTGACGCCGAAATCCAGTCGACAAGATCCGTGCACAAACTAGATCGCAAAGATAGCTGGGCCAAGACTACAGAATTTCTTTCAACGTGGCCTGGTGGATGCTGCTACACCCGATCACTGTCATCCTAATGTTACTGAACCCCCTCTACATGATTGGGAGACGCATTTCACGAAATTATTGACTGACGAAGATTAATTAATCTGTAATTGTATCAGCTGCAGCTGTAACTGAGTCAGCTGTTTTAAGCGTGATCAGCGGATTTCCAGAGATTGGTTAGTTGCAGCTGATTTATTCACGATGGTCGAAGGTCGTTGGATTCTGTGGCTTGAGGTAAGCTCCAATTTTGACAAAAGGCGTCAAGATATTGAAGTGGAATGGACAAGCAGTGAAGATATTTCTGTTGAAATTGGTTTGAAAGGGCCTACATTGATATCCTGGACTCACCCCAGAGATTTTATCGATTTCCACATCCACCTGATCCTCCCTCTGTTTGCAAAAACTATCAAGTGTTCACGCCAGACACACACGCAAAATTAAAAGACTTTTTCTTTTTGGTCATCGACACCAAGATTAGTAAGCTAGCAAGAATGCTAATATAAGGCAGCAAAATAGAAGCGTTTTTAATAAACGTCAGAGTTAAATTTAGAAAAATGAGTGCCATTTGATTGCTCCTGACAGGTTTATAAAGACTACAAATCATCTGCCCTATCAGGGAAGTATAGTGTGGCTATCTCGTTTACCATTTATTGCATTGTTGCCATAAATATGAGTAACAAATTAATACAACGTTTGCTACACGCCCAGGCCAAGTTAAGTTTTCTTTTAAAAAAACCCACGCAGTGCAGAGACGACTCTGCGTGGATTTGAGATGTCAGGAGGTGGTTTGAGCTCATGTGAACTTACCCAGTCTGCTTCTCATTGGCTTTATCGAATGCACTGCTCACAAAGAGAGAGCGACCGTTCATTTCATGACCAATCGCCAACACCTTGGCAGCAGTTTCCGGCGAATCAAAGTTTACAAAGGCGATTCCACGAGATTTTCCACTTGCACGATCCAAAACTATATCTACTTTGGTAACGCAGCCAAATTGGGAGAAGTACTTCAGAACCGCGTCCTGAGTAGCATCAAAATCGAGGCCCGCGACGAAAATTCGACACTTGTTGCTCACCTTAACTTGGCTCTTTTCACCTTCCTTTCTGAAAGATTTGAAAATAGGGCCGTGTGAAATCCTACGGTCAAGGTGGAAGCAGTTCACAGGCATGTCGTCAAGGGGCAAGTATACCTCTTGCACCATGTAATGGATCTATTTAGGGCGCCAATCTACAGTTGCTCACCATACGTCACATCAAACTTCCTCCTTTGCAGAAATAATAAATAGCCTACATCCGTCCTGCACATATGCAGTTCTTAAAGGTGCTGGTACCAATTGCAGAAATCACTTCCCTAGCATACTACTCAAACGAATTCATCTTCAAGCTAGTGTGTTCGATTTTGAAGTCTAAATCCAGCTACCATCTCCGCTCGGTTGGTTGTACTGCTGCCATTGTGACGTAAAACCACCATTCGAACTAGTTGAAGAGGCGAAAAAAGATGTGAGCGAAGCAGGCAGTCAGTCATTTGGCCCCTGAAACTGTTAGCTCTAAATTTGTCGGGCGCATCAAAAGTCAAAGTCCAGACAACAACATTTCTGGAGTAAGGCTGACCCAAAGGGAGAAAAAAGGGTTAATTTAATTTTAATGCCACGACCTTGGGCATTCAGACACCTAACACAACCATCACGTGCCACACAGTCTGCAACTCGAGTCGCGATCCTAGACAGCACAGTGCGCCTTTCTGAAATTGCGGATTATGCATATCTGACGCTACCTGAGCTACAGAATGATTACACTTTTAACTCATAAACACCTACTTGGGGTGATTTTCTCATTGAAAATGGAGACACAATGAAACGAAATAACCACGTGTACTGAAAAGGTTCTCCCGTTCAAACGCGTTTCAATATAGACTACTTAATTCAGCTGCCACTGAGTGAACATTTTACTTGCTGGATACAGAGTTTATGATTGATTTGTATTAGCGCAATTCAGAACTGCAGTTTATGAGTGCTTTGGGTTATTACCACTTGAACTTGTCATCTTACGTTTTGGCAATGATGAGCACACCGACATAAGTATTATACGATTGTTTACGGCTTCTGAGACTGCGGCACTGTGAAAATACGTACATGGGGTTGAGACGCGCTTGTGAAGTCTTTTGACAATTGAACCGTCTAACATGAACGGGACCGCTGTCGATGAAATGAGGGCATTCCTTGAGGACTCGGTCAACAGCCGAAGGATCGCGGAAGGTGACGAAAGCGTACCCACGAGACTCCTTTGTTTTGAAGTCAAGGGCCAAATAGCAGTCATCGAGAGTACCGTAATGCTCAAAGTACTCCCGAATTTGATCGGCCGTATGAGTCATCCTGAGGCCACCCACGTACAATTTCACCTTGGAAGTCACCGATTGGCAGTCATCCTGACTTGGTGACTTCGATGCCTTTAGACTAGAAAGCCAATGAGTGTCAGCCAAAAGAGGAGTCCGTGTGTTGAGCAGGCAGGGGCAGCTGACACCGTGCCAAAAGGTTGTACTTACCTCTCACCCCTTTTCGCGCGACGAGATTGGTTTATTGCCAAGGTTCGTTCAGGCGGCATCGGTCCGTCGCATATAATCAGATCGAATCCTTCGAATTTGAGTCCGATCTAAACCCAAATTCAAAGTGTCATTCAGTATTATTTTTAAATCAATGACAAGAGGCCAAAACTCTTCAAACGCGAGACTTCGATGAAAAACTTGACGACAAATATGTTGGGGGAGGGGGGTCCTCCAAAATTGAAGTTTCAGTTTAGATCTTAAGTACCTACAATTGCGTTTTTTGAAACAAAAATGAATCAAGTAAAGTCAAATTGAATACTTTGCTCACACAGACGCGTAAATTTAACCGATTAATTCAAAAATCCACCACAATGTGATCGCAGATCTCTGCTATAGTAAGCATTTTAGAGATTATGTTGGTTGAGACATGCAGGGAACGAAGCGAATGCAGTCAGGTCAATTATCGAGACGAAATAACACCTCCGACAAAAATCTACCCACGAACTTCTTGCCTCAAGTGAAGCCTTCCCGTGTGCAGTGGCAGGAGAACCGAATGCTCAAGACTGACGCAAACACTGCTTGAGTAGAATGTGAGTTTTTAAACTCTGCGGCAATTTATCATGGCAAGGGCGTAATTGCATTAGCATAGACTTATGCAAAGTAGCACAGAGACACTTAAACCAAAAAATATGAATGAGAGAATAAAAGTGCCTCAAGAACGATCAGCACCACACACACAAAGTAGCTTCTCGTTCTCTTCAACCCCGATTTAGCGGCTTGCTTCGATGATGCAGAGAACAGCAAATGCACAGAGGTGGCGCCATTGACTGGGTTAAACAACGGGACACTCTATGAAGTGTAGGATTGGCTACATGGCCATACGCAACTCTTAGACATTTTTGATTATTTACCATGACATGAGCAAGATTAAGAGATAATCTTATGGCAGTGACAACAGTCTATATTAGTTGAGCGAAAGCTGGAACACGAAATACTAGAATTAGCATGTTCCAAACTGAATTAAATGAAACGTGCATTCTCCTGCGTAGGGAGCACGGAATGAAGAGTGTTTGAAAAAGGTCAGGAATATTCAATTTTCAAAGATTCCGAAAGTGGTTTTTTGGTTTTCTGTTTGCATATCTCTGGTGTGGCACAGCTAACTTCAATTAGTTTTGGCTGCACAGAGACCCATTCGACGTTTGACAGGTTTTTACCAAGAAAATAGCCTGAGCTCATACTATAAGCAAGGTTAATTCAAATGATATTGAAGTATGAACGAGTACACGTCAACAGCATTTATGTTAAATGAGTAAAATCAAGGCAAGTTGTCTAGAAGTAACCAAGTCTTCGTTACTGTTTAATTTCACCATCGGCGTGAACAGCTTATAACTACGTGTATTAAAGAAAGCCTTAACGTTGAGGCCCATAATCGGATTCTGCGAAGTTAGGACAAGTCTTTGGTAGTTTTGCTTAAGAAGATAATAAGCGATATCAACAAATCGCATTTGGAACAGGTGAATGTACAGAGGACTGTTTGTTCCCTGTGATTGTCGGGCAAGCACCACGCAAAAACTATTCGTGAGGTCAGTCGCATTTCAATGAAATTTTAAAAGAAAATTGTGTACAGTATGAAAGGGTTAGAACCGTCCAAAGTGAAAATATACCACAGCTGCAATTGAAGCTGCATTTGGCAGCAAAAAGTTCTCGATCGTCAAGCCGAAAAAGATTATGCAGCTTTGCTCGCGTTCAGGGACCTCAAACTGAGACCTATGCCAAGAGTTCTTTTTGAAAGGTATCAGAGGAATGTAACTAAGCCGAAGAGTAAATATAGCCATTATAAGTGCTACATGGTCTTAGTGGCCAGCCGTATTTGTGCATTTTACTAAATCACCTTTTGTAAACGAAGAACAGGTGGTCCAAGGCAGTGCTCTTATCCATGAATTCAAATACGCACGCAGCGAATAACCAGTGGCAAAATGGTAAAATACGAGCATAATTAATCCAAAATACTATATTTAAAGATTTCAATTCTTCTTATTTACAAATATGAGTTCCTCTCATCTAGGTATTAGTGACACTCGTTTTTCATGGTCGGAGGTTGGATTTTTGCTGTTTTTAATTGTTCTGGCATTCGGACTTTTAATCTTATTTGGACATTTTAACACATGCTGTAGAAGATAGCACCTATGGCTTTAACAATCAAGGCAATGTTTGAACCCACTTGCGAGCCTGACGAAGCCGACATCTTGAGTAAGGGACTACAAGGGAGAACTGGAAGTGGGTCACTCTTGTGAAATTTAGTTCAAAAAATCGACAGGTTTTTGTGGATAGTTTGGGCATGGTGCTGAGGCAAACGAAAATTGTGGGGTCAAAGTAAAACCGGTGTCATGCAAACACACAAATGCACACTTTTAAATTTGCAAAAATGGCCTACCGTATTAACCTGCTTCGAAAGTTGCATGCGTGTTATCGGAAGTCGTTTGATGCCTTGGATCATTTTTTCCAAAGTCAATGACTCCTCGTAGAATTTCTGCACGGTTCTCTGTTTTTCTAAAAGATGGCTTAAAATCTACAATAATAATAGCAAAAAAATGCATTATACAAGTGTGGGCTTCACCTAGGTATATGCTATGGAAATAATTAGCTTCGATAAGGGCTTTATAATAGAACGCAGAGCCCAGGCAGAAGTTAAGAAAAGCGAGCAAACGAAAAAAAACTTGGGGATTCAAGAAATGAAGGCTGTTCCCAGCCGTTTCTAAGCTAACACAATGTTCATTGGAGCAATGATGGAGGGCACAATCCGATGCTTGTTAAAGGTTAAATTGGGTTAATGCAATAAACAAGTATTTTCAGAGTGTTTAACATTTTACAATCAAAATCGCAAGAGTGCTGCTGAGGAGTTTCACACAAAATTGGCTTAAAATTTCAGCTGAGACCACCTACAACGCTGTGGTTTACTCACTGAAGTTCACTTTGAACGAAGCAAGGCTTGTGGTGAGTTGGATCGGGATTGTATTAGTGTACAAGAAATTTCCCCACAATTGCTAAGTAGCTCGATATTTGGTTTTCCCATTTGAATTGAAAGACATTGATGTGAGATCACCAATTAATTGCCGCGGTTTGCGTCTCAGGCTCAACGAATTAGTCGCATTTCATACAAATCGTCACTGACACCGAAATATGGGTCAAATTCAGTAACAACACTAGAAAACATCCACTTTTCATTTGTGGTACATTGGTAAAAGCAACACTGACTAAAAAATTGGATCGAGACGTGATCGAGCTATTAATTTGGTGAGACTAAAAATGTATTGTGTGCTATAACCTGCTTTCAAACAACCGATTCGGTGATTCAGATATTTTTTTCTGACAATAAATAATGGAAGCAGATTGGGCAGCAACCAAAGAATTACGGTCAAACTTGACAAATCGCAAGGGATTTATGTTCCAAAGACACAGAGCATGACCTATCACAGTTTTAATGACGCCGGAAAAATAACTGGGACTCGGTTGAAAGGCACGTAGCTCGGACTTTGAACTACGATAACGCCACTAATTTCGAAGTTGGCGACACCCCTTGAAGCGGAATCATGATTTTACCAAAAAAGATGCAAAATTGTCATCAGGCAAAACTGAACTACAGAACCGATTAGAATTCGTTCTTCGTGAACTAAACTGTGAAGTTTACATGCTTACTAAATGACATTCTTGCTAACCTATTACGCCCGCCAGATAATGCAGACCATATCTTCATTTGAAATACTAACGTATGTTAAGGGTTACACTTGTTAAAGACTAATGAGCTGTCTTTTGACGGCATTAATCAGTTTCTTTTAAGGCATCTGTTACGCATTCTTTACCGTGGAATTCTCTGCGCTGTACTTCTTCTGTTTTGCGTTTCGGCTGAAACCTACTTAAATGAGGCCACTTTTCGGCCCACAAATCCAAAACGTATTTTGGAGGGGTGCAATTGTATAAGAGCCAATCCACTCGTAACTGAATTTGTGCGTACAGTCAACACTCAGCTAATTCCAACTTAGGCAACACTCAGTTTGCGTTCATTCAATCTCCAGTTGGAGATAGCGCTTGTGTCGATTACAAAATAATCGGTTTCCTGGAAAATTTGCCCATAACGAATCAGAGAAGACGTACGTGTAGGGTCGAGACGCTCGCTGCAATTTCCTGAACAGTACCCAATTCACTTGATAATGCTGCCAATTTTTTTCCTATATCCGAGAGAACTTCGTAACCCTCCATGTCAGTGACCTCGAGCGTCGACAGCGCGGACTGCAAAGATTCACTTGTGGCGGCTTGCAGCTCTGTCACCACATCATCCAAATCTTTAACAATGGTGCAGTGCTTTGATGAAGTCTTTTGCACGTTCTCTTGAAATGATTTCTTCATTTTGAGTAACTTCTCTTTAGTGGCGGTAAGAGAGTTAACTTTTACCCGCAGCATGAAATTGTACTAAAACACAAAAAAACCCCATGAACGAGAGTTTATTGGCAAACTACCACATCAGTTACCTAGTTTAGCATTTTCTCTACTACTAATGCTCAATCTGAACCCTTTTTGGAGCTAGTTAAGTCACAACTACGACGTAAACTATGTGCTCCTTCACATCACAGCACTTCCCAATCCAAATCGGCATTTGGTTGTTTATCTGCCACTGCTGACATCCGATTCGCCCTAAATGCTGTGACTTTCCACACTCGAGATTACCACAGTGCAAAATAATGGCAACAAAGAGAAAGAATATCTACACATACATTGTCGATGTGCCGATCAGAGCACTTGGGACAAATCATCTGCTGGCAGTGTCTGCAGAAATTCAACTCTTCAGTTGGACTACGACAAGCCCCACACTTCTTGGTTCGTCGATGAACCACCTGCTTAGTTGGATCAGCACTGGTGTCGTGCGCCTCCTGCTGTTCAGTCATGAAGAGATGCACTTTTCCAGCGAGGGAGTAATTCGGCGACAATTCGTTGGCCGAAACTTCGATGTGGCAGTAAATGCAGCGGGCATCAACCGCCCTGGCGTGATGCAGAAGACATGGCCGCAAGCAAAAGGTGTGACCACAGGGTAGAGTGTAGGGATCCCGGAGTCTGAGGAGTCATCAAAAGGGGGGGGAAGATGGTATTTCGTTGGCACATTGGAAGCTCGATAATTTTAAATTGCATTCATAGCTGCTTACTCTTTGGCGTTCCAGCTCGAAGTGTGCTACCTACACAACTCTGTTTTCAGCCGTTGCAAACGAATTAGGAGGCCCAAAAGCGGTTAAACAAAGTGTAGGCATAGGAAAACTCGCCAAGGGTCAGTGTACAAACACTCAAATACAATTACGTTAAAAAGCAGTGCGTACTGCGTACCAGGAACATTTGTGCACAACACAGCTGATCTTTAGAATTTAAAGAGGTCAAGCTCCACACACCTCCTCAAGCGATTGTTCCTAATTCAAATTTACAACATGTCCGATTACTCAGGGCAACCAATGATAAAACCTCATTGCGAAAAGACGACACCACCTAAGAAGGAACCATCGAAGAACGTGTGCGCGAATTTTGTGGGTTCGAGTCAAATCGGGCAGTTGGCTTTTGAGGTTCCCGTGGCCGGTGTGGACACGAAGTAGCCAGATGAGGAATGAGATGGCTAAGTGCGGTAAGGGCCCAACAATCAAATGAGAATGTGCCTTCACCAAGGTGTGAATGAGGAGGGAAACTAGGGACCGCATGCAATGAGACAAAAATATGCGTCACAGTCGCCGGATAATGCCTGGTATTGTGTACTTATGATCACAGCCGAAAAAATTAATGACTGACTTCATAAGATACGTCCACTTTCCATAAGAGCAGGCTTGGTTTCAGGCATAGCTGCCCGTGCTCCATAGACCCGAATCCGAAACAGAAATCTCCGAAGTGGCTGATAGGCTTGTTAACTCTATTAATGATTAAATGGCATTGGACATTTGTGGTTCAGTTGGATTGGTAAATGACTACCATCTGAGTCTTGAAATAGGTGTGGACAGCAAGCTCTAAGTCCTGATTTTTGCGAATTACACACAGTATCTGGATACTTTAAAAACACAGACTCCATCCACGATTCCCATTGGAATCACGTGTGAGAGTAAACATATGGCCACAGCGTAGTAGGGCTCTCTCTCCCTCGTGAGGTTTATGTGAAAAAGATATCTCGGTTTTTTTAAGGTAAAAATGGGTGCCAAGCATCTAAGTACATTTGTTGTCAACTGTTCCAAAAGAATCCACAAACCACAAAATTATTGATAAACAGATTATGCAATTCGCCGAATGAGCACCAGCAAAACTTCCCTATTCATACCCGATTGAAAAACCCCGCAATATTTAAATGCGTGATTTTCTAAAACTTAGGCGTTGACTTACATATTGGTACAAACTCCACAAATTATATCCTTGGGGATTGAATTCATCTTTGCCGAAAACAGGGACTACGTATTCATTTCTAGGCGATCGGAGGAAGCCTGGTGCGTTGGCACAACTTTAGTTGCAGCGTTTTCATTCGACGACGAGTGTCGAGGTTCTTATTGGTTAAAAGCGCTGACAGTGGCGCTACCAAGGTCACTAGAACTGTCTGTCTAACTAGAAAATGATGCGAGTACTGTCATGAACGTTCGGTGGTCCCTCGGTGTTTCTTTTGCGTCCGACGTGGGAAATCCCTCCCGTGCGAGAAACCCGTACAGGAAAGAATGCTCTGATTGAGGCGAACCACGCTTTCATGAAACAGCACTAATCCGCTCTGGTCAGTGGCTCCTTAAGGGTTATGGAGCGTAGGACGTAATCCTTGTTGACAATATACCTAGCAAAATTTATAATCAGGCTGACTTGTGATTTTAAGTTACATTTTTCTACAATGAATTTTATGGGCGCTATCATGGTTTACCACTCTACGTTTCCTAACTGCTGGTAGTGAGGCTCTTGGTAACGAAAGCCCCAGTTTTGCAGACAACGACTGCAGACTAAGTCGCCTATTTACGAAGAATAACTGTTAAATTGTATTCAGTTACAAAGGTTCAAACCAGCACCTTTGAGTAAAGTGAATTTTTGGAGCTTTGCAGATGACAAGCGACAGCAGGTGGATTCGAAGTCACCCTCGATGCGGGCATTCTCGATGACTGGCCTATCACATCGATTGTATGTTTAACCAATAGGTCTGCAGTATGACTGCCGCTCGCGTGTCTGCCTCACACACGCACACACATCATCGCGGTGTGGCTCGACTGTAGCTTTCAGCCCATGTTGATTCGATGTCGGGGTTTGCTGAGGATCTTATTTGCGAAATATGCCATCAGCTGTGAGTTGCCAATTTATCAGTTAAACCTTAGCGACTGGGTTAAAGTGATTCAGACTTGCCTGTAGATGGATTCATCTGTCTGCAATATTTGCCTCCAAAATGCTTGATTCGAGAGATTTTTAAATTTGCATTAGCTCCCGAATCTTCGGTGTTAAGTTGCATTAATCAATAATTGGGTCCCTAAATTAATTTACTGAATAAAATCTGAATTGGTTTAACCAACACTGAGTTCCTCCGATGCCTTTAAATTGAATCTCTGTTGACAGGAAGGCTCTTTTTTCAAGTGTCGATACTTACTTTGAACTCAAGTTATCGTGCTGCCATTATTGACGATTAGCGGGTGATGGGGCGCTATAGAGTGGCCAATAGTCCCAAGTCTGAGTCATGGCGTCTAACTATTCCCAAGCATTAGAATACGGTGTATGGAACACTTCCACAAAGCGTACAGACCTTATTTCACCCACAGTTTCTTCGAGTGATGTAAATTCCCCGTTGTTGTAGCAGATGTGGTGACGCAAGCATTCTGGTTGCAGTGCTAGCGGTCAGAAACTCACGCGCAGCCGAGACAAGAAGTGTCGCAATTCACTATTCGGTGGCCAATGCCTGCCCAGATATAGGTTCACTAACTGGAATGTTGCAACAAGCTAGACAACGAAGATCCTCATAGCGAGAAGAGGATTTTCCGTGTGTCCAGTCAAATATCACTAGAGCCAACCCATCTGTTTCGTCTCGTCAAAATCCTTTAACTTCCCAACTGAGAAAGAGAACCTAATCAAAGAATAGAGAGTTGTATCGCTAGCCTACTTGTCAATGACACTTCTATAAGACCAACATTTCCATTTCCTAGGGCTGTATTATCTCAGAACTTTTGGACTTAAGCGCATACATCGGGCATAATTCTGACGATGTGTGTATTTTGCTGTTTTAGATTGCGAGACCCCCACATGTTGCCTTGCGGGCACTCCTACTGTTTACACCCCTGTATTTTAAACATGACCGATGCAAACATTGTTTTCTGTCCCCAATGCTTCATTGAGAGCGACGCCAGCCTAATCGTGCCGGATGAGAGCACTAACAGGCGCATTTGCATTGAATTGAGCCGCCGCATGTCGGAAAACGCAAATAACCGGACCTCCGTTCCAAGTAAGCTAGCTGATCCACCCCCCGATCCAAGTGAATGTGCCGAATGCAAGGCTCAGTCATTTGGCGTGCTGATGTGCCTGCATTGTGCGCAGCGACTCTGCTCTGATTGTCAAAAGAAGCACGTAGCAATGGTAAGATATGGGCTCTACAGCTAGATGCAAACCAAAGAAGGGTTTGATAGTAGCCTTAGCGTGTGTGTTATTACTTTTATCATCATCTAATAATGTGGCTGCACTTTTGGTCCAGCGTAGTCCAACATAAATGAGGTCTAGTTCCGTGGAAGTGTTGTTGGAGGATTAGCAAAAAGCAGAACAAGGTAGCTCCCAAGTTTTCACTACCTAAATAATAGTACTTTTGTTGCGTTAAACCTCGCCGTTATTTTAATTCTGTTCTGTACTCTGGAATTATTTAAACCATGTTGCGTGGGTGAAAATAACCCACTCCTTATATGCATTTGCTCAGAACTCTTACAATTAAACTCCAAAAAGCCAAATCAGTCAAATTCATTGAGATCTTTATTTCACGTCTAATTTGCATCCAAAAAGGGCTTTTTACAAGTAATAAAGAGCCAATTTGTAAGCGAAAAAGCAATTCGAAGTGAAGCCTCGGCAGGAAATAGCTTTTTTTTCAAATTTCGTTTACTCACCACATGTTGACGTAGTTCCATCTCCACAACACTGCACAACTCATTCGCAAACTTACAATTCGGATGGTTGGAGGCTGTTGGAAGTGCAACGCCTCGGTAGGCTTTGGCATTCTTCGAACTCGTGGCTAAAACTCATTCTTTAATTTGGCCACTAGCAGCTTACGTTCGTGTGTTGTCACATCCAAATTGTGTCTCAATTTTGAAAATCTGGTCCCCAAAACTCGTCTGTCGAGGCTGAGTGGCATCTGTCGTCAGTTAAAAAGATTCTTGTGTTGCGATGTGCCGTGTCTGGATAAAATTATCGAATCGTCTGAGGTGCAAAAACCTCAACCATCACTGTTGTCGACTTGACGCCTTTGCGTACGCCAATATTCGGCGCAAAAGTAGCCCGCTAACTCAGGTACAAACCTAAATACTTCAGCAACGATGACTAGTGTTTCGTGGATTCAGCAGTTGAGGTAATCTTTTTAATCAATCACTATTTTCACGCGTAAGGCGCTGTTTTCGTAGTACACACATTGGCACTTGTGCTACGTATACCCGCTTAAGTATTACTGTTTCCCACGTGACTAAAATTCTAATCCGTTTGATACACAGACGTGGAATCGGATTGAAAGTGGGATGTGCATAAGGGCCATGTGCTATCAGGTATGCTTTATGGAACACTTCGTTTGCCTGGAATGCCTAATCTGGCCAAGTAAACACAGGAGTACAACTTGGTAGGCCAGAAATACCGCTTTGTTGAAATGCCACAGCCATCTAATGCAGTTTTCAGCTTATTGGTATTCCGTTATTTCTTCGGACTTGACGAATTTCAAACTCCGGGTCGCCTTACAGCATTGGTTACAAATTTTCTCCGATTTAAAAAATGGTAACATAAATCCACTGGGCGAAGTTCAGGTGACTCACCGCGGCTCAAATCTATCTTATCACAATAATTCTTTCTGCTCAGGTCATTCGCAAAGTTGCTCAGAAGATCGTTGGTCTGCGCAAGTCGTCACATGACCTTGAGGCCATCCAAATGAACCTCTTGATCGAAGACAACATAGTAACACCTCAAAGAAGTGCTATAAATCGCCAATTGGACAAGGTTGTCGAAGATCTCGAATTGACTTGTGACAGGGCCTTCGGTGCCGCGATTCTAACAATTACTGAAGCTGCGAATAAAGTCCAGGAGACGCTACAAAAGGAATTAACCGATGTAGCTGAAGTAAAAAAATTGACGGAATTTGCAGTGGTCTTGCCAGCTTTAATCGACGCAGATGAGGTGATCATTGCAATCAATCTATTGGCTGTTTATAGCTATTTCTAAAAAAACCGTATTTGAGGCTGGTAATCCATTGATGGAACTAAGTAATTATCGATGATTCTTGCTAATCCAATTGAAGATTTTGTCTAAGTTCTCAAGGCCGTCTACACTTTGTCTCCATCCAGTATTTGTCTACTTACAATATTTTAAGCGTTTTTTTTACTAATCAATTAATGTATTGCTTAAAATTGTTTCACAAGTACATCAGGTTGGTGCAGTATACTGTTTTTTTTAATTATATATGCTTAGGAAGTACTTGTTACAAGTTGGTCACTTGGTATCCTAGATGTCTAATTTTACTTATTTGCGCCTGTTTCAATGGAGGCTATTCTCACGAATTGAGATTTCCTTCTAAATGCCTTTCTCTGTTTTAGCTAAAATTCTTGCGGGTGGGTACTAATTTTGTGCCTTGGTGATTTGGTCTTGTGGTCTTGATAGCCTAGTCAAGATAAGTGTCAGATCCTTACTGTTTCAGGACTCCCTCGAGGAGTTACTGCAGAGAAGGAATGAGTTGAGGAACGCGCTCAAAAGCTTCCACAAACCGGTCGAACGTCTTGCCACGGTGAACACAGACAAGCTCGCTGTTTCGAAAGTGGCTTTGGATACGGTATGTCATTCCTCTGATGTCTTGTTTCAGTGACAGGTATTGCTGCACCTTATCGTGCTAGTAGAATGCATTGCATGGTGACCACTACGAGTGGCTAACGATGTCGAATGGATATACAGAAAGTTGTTGGTGTAGAATCGTGAAGCAGTTTCGATCTTTTGTCCTTTATCTCAAACGTGAACGACAATCACTAAAGAGGGGGCATACATTTCGACAATGACAGCATACTTCGAAGTAGCCGATTGCGCAACGACTCAAATGTTTGCAAAAGATTGGCTGATGTAGATTATCAACGCAGTTAAACTACAAATAAGGTATATTACTCATCCAACCCTTCATAAGACCCCATTCATTTTTCCGTAAAATATTTGTAAAATTTGCCGCGTTATTTCTGTATGACACTTCGTCTTACTAAACTGATTTCGTTGGACCACTATTCAAATGCACCACTATTAGGCAACCTGCATAAAAGGTTCAAGGTTCCATATTGCCTTTGTTGTTTTTCGATTCCAGCGAATCCGTCAAAGTGTTTGAGCTGCTGTTGTTTACAATAACGCTAAAAGTCGCACATATTTTGCAAATATCAAAGCCTTCCGCGTACTGCATCGTACTTTTTTGACACTACCGATGCATACGTTAACAAGAAAGATTTCATGTCTCCCTATTCCTGGTACAGACGGTGCGCCTATGCACTACGGGGACCACCCAAAAGCCTCAATCAGTGGTAATTTTCTTGAATACCGATAAATCCGTGCAACATCTAAACTAATGTGAACACAAGTTTTGGACATTCAAGCCGGAAGGCAGGTTGAGCAATTTGGCTTTGGTGCCTAGATGCTAATCATAAAACGCTTTAAGGTGCCTGCGTGGTCAATAAAGCCGGGCTTTGTGGTGTTAACTCATATGGTCGGCACGGAGGTCGGCGTTGGTCACCTGCAAAACAGCTACAGACGCACTTTTCGCATACCAACAACGGTGAACTACGGTTTGGCTGTAGTCGACCCGAATACAAATCGTTCTGCCTCACAAATCCACGCATTTGGGCTTGTGAGTCAAGCGAAATCAAAGCTTCCCGTAGAAAAATTTCAGCATCGGTATCAAAATGAGGGCACATATGATTGGATCACCGTAAATGGTCCGTATGAGCATGATCCGGTGCAGCAAATTTTCATTCAGACGGATATGCGTGCACCCGTGTGTAAAATACCCGAGGCCTAGTAGGAAGGAGACTGGTACAACAGAGCAGGCTTTATTGGCCAATCACAAGCCAGAACTACACGTCAAACGCCGTTCATCCGAGTCCACCACGCTGGCTACGGCGCTCATTATATACTGCTCCTCATTCGTGTCTGTCTCTGGTTGGCTGCCTATCTTCCTCGCATGTCATTCGAACGCAGAGAGAGGGGATTGGCTGAGGCCAGCGTGGTCCAATATGTCTGTGCCCTTATCCGTTGCCACACATGGACATTGGCTAAAATCCATTCACGACACCAAGGGGACTCGACCGCTTTCCAATGGTCGCAGTCGGTTGGACTCGATGAATAGCTAAATTTAGGTCTCATAAACACGTTAACAAATTTATGGAGAGGTGCCTTTTTTTCTGAACTCTTGTTCATCCTGGTCAACCTTTCCATTCTCTGTTGCACTTTTTATGCACATCCCAATGAGTGATAACTTTTAAATGAAACACGTTAGATAAGAAGGCACCTTGAAGACTTCGATTTTCTGCTGGTGGGGGAGCCGCTAGATGACACGGAGGCCCATTCTAAGGAGGTTCCGTCACAAAAGCTCCTCTCGACATCACCTACTTTCCCACCAAGGTACGTAATCTTGACTGCGAATTCATTATATGACCTTTGTTAGTGGCGAGGTAGGTTAGCCATTAAAATTTGCCCTTTACTCTCAAATTCCAATGGATTTGCAGCAAGTTTGAAGCAACACAAGTCCCACAATTCTATCGTGATGACCTCTACGGGTTCGTGTGGCATTTTAAGTCTTGTATCTGGCAGCCATCCGTCATCTGCGACAACTGTGAAATTTTACTAAACAAGGGAAATGCAGGCGTCAACAAAATAATCACCATTCGACGGCCGTTGTAAACTGTGGTTTCTGTTTTTGAAGTCGACGGCCTAATGGAATCGGAGTTAAGCTTGAGGAAGCATCCACAATTTCAGCATGTCTCACGTTGAATTAAAATTGACCTGGATTGAACTCGTGCGCCGCACTAACTACAACCACTTTAAACGTCTCTTTGTGTTTCAGCTCCCAACCCCTCGCCTCGCCTAAGCAGCTAAACCCCTTCTCAAGTGAACCGTTTAATTTTGCATGAAGTACTCTTTTTTTAACTTCCCATATGACAGCCCTGTTTTTATTCCGACCACTTGATATTATCTTCGTAGGAAAACCAAGCTGACCGTTTCTCAGACGAGACGTTTCTTTGTGAAAAGTCATTTTGTCTCAGATGTAAAGGCGTGTGTGTGTTGGGTGTACATCTAAGCACACACTACGTGTGAGTGGGCCTTTTACCGATTATTTGTATAATTGGATCGATTCGACTTAAACAGAGAATAAAACCGCATTTTGAGCGAAATATTTTCCTCACACTCAGGAAGGGGTTGTTATTTCACTCAACTCGATCAGTGAGGGTGCGTTGGCGATTGATGAGGACTCTGTTCTTTCTCCCTCCTAATTACAATTGCAAAATTTCCCAATATACTTTTCCCAAGACACCAGTAACGTGTCTCTGCGCCATTAGAAAATGGTGGTATTGCCACGATTATCAAAGGTGACTTTTCGGTGTAAATTACTTGTTTTTCCAGAGCAAGTGCAATTAGAATTATGTACAGTGAGACGAAGTGTGGACGGATGAATTTGGGTTGAGATTCGGACGTAAGCAAAATATTCGAGTCAGGTATGAATGATTGAATAAGGAGTCATGGGTTTCAAGCCAAGTAGCGAGGTCCGGAAAAAACTGATTATTGGAGTTGTGGGATATCGCGGAAGTGACGGAATTCAGGTTTTTCCAGAGAATGCAAATGGAAGGAGCACGCAGGAATGCCCAAGTTAGTAGATAGGGTATTTGTGAAAAAGTTTAAAAGGAGTAATGGCTTTCCTTTTAAATATTCATTGCAAGGTTGCGCGTAAAGTTGTCTTCCAGTTAGTTGCCCATTCTAATAATTATTAGGGCATTGAAGAGTCTGGATCATCCTGTATTCCTAGTTGATTAAACGCTTTGGCAATCTATTTAGAGGTGTTTTTGTTAATTTAACAATTCCTTGCTTTCGAATGAGTCATTGAGACAAATAAAAAACAGTGATTCGACACAAAAGTCGAAAGAAATTCATCTACAAATCAAGCAAATCACTAAATGGTTACGCATGTGTGCCCATCGTTTCAGCGTTTAAGTTTAAAAAAAACTCGCAGGAGCTAAATATTTGCCTGGGAAAATTTAATTCTGTACAGCAATTGTGACAAAATCTAAGAAGGTATTTGTGTACATGCTGACTTGTAAATTATTGGCAAGTGCGAATCCAGAAAAATTGGGCCTGAATCATAATGATATCGACCTGAATAATGAGAGTTCCCAAACCCCACATTAATCTGCATCAGAGTTAATAAAATTATCAAGTTATTGTGGTTTCATTAAACTGGTATTTAGAAGTGAGATACAAGGCAAAGTACAATTTTCTTGTAAGGTGCATTAGAGATAAATAGCTTTATTGTACCTAGCTCTCTAAGTCCTATTGAGAGCATGTCATATGTAGACCTAAGATATTTAGTTGCTTCCAACCTTTTAACACAAAGTGGTTAATCATTATTATTTCCAAACGTATTTTGGGGCCACTTATAACTCACGTAATTGTGTTAATAAATCCATGCATCATAATTTTTAAATAATGCAAATAATTATGTCAAATTCCAACATGACGATATTAGAAATTAACTTAATTAAGCTTATGTTGTATTCCGTTGTCTTTAACATGAAGCAGTCCAAGCGCCTCAGTTATGTCTAAAAACGGATAGCGAGCGGCAATTAGAGCACTAATTTATTCGACATTGATCGTGAAAACCGTACATTTCATGTTTTGAGGCCATCAATAGCAAGTTTCTTGTGACTGCCAGGTGCAGTGGTAATGCAGTATTTAATTAATCTATACTTATACTTTAACTGATTACTTATTGGTTTTCTTATCGCTGAGCAGAACACATGCTAATGGCAATCAAAGGTGCGTAACTATTGGGCATGTGAAAGGCTTATTCTGTTTAAATGCTGCTGATTTACCGAAGTGGTCTAGTAAATTGAACTTTTGGATCTCAGAGTAACTCTGGACGAATGGATATTTTGAGGCCCCTAAATAAAAACTAAATATGTAAAAAAATAGATGATGCATTAAATTCAAATTATCTGATCTTCGGAGCAAGAGGAATTTATTGCCTTATACTAGTTTAGGAAATACGGGCAAGATATAAGGGGAACAAAAAATGGTTAAATAATATTGAAATGGAATAATTTGGTTATGTAGACAAAAAAATTAAATATCGTGGTTGACTAGCGGAATAAAATAAAAAAAGTAGTATAATTCAAATAAAGTGCAGAACTGTTAGTGACATAGATTAAGCTATTATAGGTAGGCATCATGCAACATTAAGTTCTCCGTGTGAATGTTGGTAGGATATTGTGCCATACAAGTGATATTTTCCGAACTTGGAAACACTCCGAAATCATCTGGTCTCCGTTCAGAAAATTGCATCAGACAAATTATTTAACACTTATAATCCAGCATTTCCTAGGTCAACTTCGTTACCTTACCTTAAATTTTGTAATATATTACAAGGGAAATTTGGAATTGCATTGTGATGCGTTCAAGAATAAAACATGACTTTGCAATATTTTCGGAATACACCATTAGATGTCATTCAACGCCCCATTATTTCTTTGCCCATTATTTTTCCACTTTCAAGAATATCAGCGTTCCAATTCCACTCGTTTACAGTCCATCGTTTGTTTTGAATTAATTCAGTTTATTAGTCCCAAAATTTATCAGACCATCTTTTTAATAGCATCTTTCACCAAATCCCTTCGGATTCTTCTAATGGCAATCAAGAGCTCAGCTTTAGCCACATAAACACATTCATGTGCCTTAAGAGCCGTAGTCACAGTCGAAAATTCAGTTATTTATTAACTGTTGTCTATTTTTGATTTAATTTTTGGCCCTCGGTTATTAACGTAAGAAGCTGTAAATGCATAAAAAATCTTGTTTGGGCTATAAAACAGCAAACAATTTGTTCTTTTACTCTACCTCGCAATTGCCTCGTTCGACAGTAAGTCAAGCTGAAATATTGGTGGTGACCTTTCGGTATTGTTCATTGGTTGGGTAAGAGTGCCGGCTAGTTAACATGGCTTTGCTGTAGCTTATTACTCGTGTAGGTTTCGGCCCCATGGTATAGTGAGGAAGAGAATGAGACAAGATGATTTTCTTCAATAAAGGATGAAACTCACAACACTGGTCTGAGTCTGGTCAGTCCGTATAGGGAAAACAGGGGGTTTATATATCCTTGTTCTGTTCTTCCTGTTCTCCCATTGGTCCGTCCCGCGTCGCTACAATGGAGACAGAAACCTCGTGAGCGGATTGGCTCT